AAATAGAAAATTGGACTTGATCAAAATTTAAAACTTTTGTTTTTCAAAAGGTACCTTTAAGTGAAAAGGACCCGGCCAGTGTGCTCAGTGGTTCTGTGTTAACCTCTGAACTAGGAAGTCACAGTTTGAATCCGGTCAGGCAGCCAATCAATGGTTCTCTCTCATCACTGATGCTTTTAAATCTCTCTTTCTCCCCCTTCCTCTCTGAAATCAATCAAAAAATATATATTTTTTAAAAAGACAGTGAAAAGGCAGGCTACAAGAGAGAAAATATTCACAGTATATATCAAAGGACTCTTCCATGGAATTTATGAAAGAAACTCTCACAATTCATTTATAAGAAGCCCCAAAACCCAATTTTTTGAAGTACAAACTATTTGAACACACACTTCACCAAAAATGAAACACAGATGGCCAATAAGCACATGCAAAGATGTTCAACATCATTACTCACCAGTAATTTTAGATAGGCTAAAATTTAAAAGTGTGAGTATGCCAAATGGTAGCAAGGACATGGAGCAACTGAGACTCTCATACATTGCTGGTAGGAATGTAAAATGGCACAACCAGTTTGGGATATATTTTTACAATTTCTAAAGAAAGTTAAACATACACCTACCATCAGACCAAGGCATTCCACTCCTTAGTATTTACCCAAGAGAAACAAAGACCTGGGCGTGAAGGTCCTTCCCAGTTTTATTTGTAATAGCTCCAAGCTGGAAATAACCCAAATGGCCATCAACAAGTGAATAGGATAAACAAATCATTATATATATCTATACAAAGGAATATTACTCAGCAATAAAGAGATGAACGTTTGAGACATTAAACAACATGGACAAACCTAAACATCAATATGGAGAATAAAAAATTCAAGCAAAAACAGCACACACTGTTTCATTCCATTTAAACAGAATAATAGAAAATACAAAATAATCTATAGTGACAGAAAGCAGATCCATGATGGACGGGGGAAATGGAGTCGAGGGAGAGATGGATTACAAAGGGTCTCAAGAAAACGTTCGATAATGATGAAAATGTTATCTTGATTGTGGTGGTTACACAGGTGTATACATGTCAAAACAGATCAAATTGTACAGCTTAAATATGTGCATTTTATTGTATCTCAATAAAATTGTACCAAAAATACAAGTGGGAAAGGAGAATCCCGTTTACTGGCAAAGGCAATGGGTAGCTGTATGGTGTCTGTTACCAGTCATATGGTGAACTAGATAGATCATCTCACTGTAAAATAGTTAGGAATGGTGGATAAACTATTAGCAAACGTTCTCTTAAGTGTACATTGACTCCACTGGAAAGAAAGGCATCCAAGTTTGGCCCACCCTTGGAGAGTAGGAGGAGAGGTTGCTGGTTCCTTCCTTAAGCTAGGCGCTTTGCCGTCAACAGGCACTCAGGGACAAGGACTTGGCCTTCACAGGGTAGGATCTGGACTGAGACTCCCACATTGCCGAGAGCACCGAAAGGCTACACCCTCAGTGGAAGGTTAGTCCAGGAAAAAAATTCACTTGCTGGCCCAGGATGAAAATAAGGAAGCTCTTCTGCCTTGGAAATGATCTCCTCTGAAAACATGTAACCAAAGCCTATCCTCGTGTGGGTTTAGGATTTGAATTTCTACTACCCCTGTAGTCAGATAAACCTAAAGTAGATAAATTAACTTAAAAGGTGGTAAAAC